GCCTGCCGTGGGGTGGAGGGTTTGTCCCTCGTGCCCGTCCTGTCCCTGGCTGCAGGTGCAAGGGGGACGGTCCCAGCTTTGCTCACAGCCCCTCTCTGGGTGTCCTGGCTCGGAGGCACGGTGGTGGATCCATGCGTCGGGCTGTGTGAGATGCCAACATTCACCCTTGCAAGGAGGGGTGCACGGCAAAACCACTTCACAGGGCCAGCCTGGCGGTGTGGGGGCCCCAAACCGGCTCCTCCGCTCCGGGTGTGCTTGGGTCGGGGCTGGGTGTGAGCAGCGGGGGAAGCCGCCCTGAATGCTGCCGTGGGGTTAAAGAGGGAGGAGAGCAGGCAGGTTTCGCAGGGAGCCGTCTCCTCCTCTCCTCCTGTGCCAGCTCCCTGCCAAATCCCTGCGGGGCCTCCCAGGGAGTCAAGGGGTGCCTGTGGCAAGAGGGACCAAGTGGCCCAGGGTCCCCGTGAGGGACTGGGGGTCACTCCTGGAGCTGCTCTTGTCCCCTTTTTCCCCCGGCCTGGTTGCGTTCCCTGGTGCAAAAATGCTCTGGGTGGGGAAGGGAGTCAGACCCAGACCTTACAGTCCTGGAGGCCTTGGCTGTGCCAAAAGCCAGCGAGACAAAAACGTTTCTAAGACTCCATTTGGAGCAGGAGAAAGTTTTTCCGTTGGGTTTTTATAGCTCCCGGAAAGCAGGGTTTTATTTTTGTTGTCCAAGACAAAAAATCCTCTTAGGAGCCGACTACCCGCGGCGTTGCGGGGCGGGCTGCTGTGCATGTGCCGTGCCGAGGGCCTGGGCTCGGCTTTGCTTTCCCTCCCTTCCTCTGTCCCGTGGGGTCTGTGGATGCTGATGCTGGTTTCCACAAAGGAAAAGAGAAGGTTTTGGTGTTCCTGATGTACGACCGGTCCCGCTCATGTGCCCATGGTAGGCACCGATGCTGCAGCACCCGTGATGGCTCCATGCCACCCCGGACTGTCGTAGGATGCTCCCGCCCGGGGACACAGCTGCAGGGAAAGCCCTTTTCCTGGGGAAGGGGGCTATTTCCCATGGCCTGCAGATGGGTAAACCAGGGGCCTCGGGGGGCTGATCTGAATTTCCTGGGGTTGTAGGCTGGGACCATTGAGCTCTCCCCAGTTGCCCCTTCTTTGCATGGCGCAGGCTGCTTTTGGAAGGGTTTTACTGGCAAGGGAGCCGGTTTCCATGGTAAAAACCTTAACAGCTTCTGCCAAAAATCCATCTCTCCGTTGGCCTGGCCATCTGGAGGGTGAAAGGAGGCTTTGGCGGGGTAAGGAGGTGGCCGCAGGTTGCTTTGGGTGCTCCTTTGGTGCCCTTGGCAGCTCGGAGGGGTCCCTCTGCCCAGGTGCAGGTTCGCACCGGGATACGGGGGGGGACCCCAGTGTCACCGAGCCTGGTGGGGCACAGGCAGGCTGGGGATAGGGGAGACACGGCATCGCTGCTCGGGGAGGGAGGGCTGTGGGCACCGTGCACCGGGAGCGGGTGGCCGCGCTGTAATCGGATGAACCGGCGCCGCTCCAGATGGACCTGTCAACTCTTGTCAGTGCTGACACCCCTCTGGGTCCCTCCGCGTCCCCTCAGGCCAGGGGGCCACCGCCTGTCCCACTCCGCAGTGTCTGCTTGGAGCAAGGGGGGCCGGGAGGTGACACCGTGTTTGCAAAGCCTGTCAGACAAACAAGGTCCCTTCCATGCTGCAGTCCCTCCGTGACAAACTCCATGTTTTGTTAACTTTAATGGGAAAAACCTGGCATGTGCGTCTGTCTGTCTGTCTGTAGCAACTGAGCTGTCCTCAGTGGGGCCGTGAGGGCAGTGGGGCCTTGCTGCTTGGCCTCCCCCTGTCCCCAGGTGCCACCCCACCGCCCCAGAGGGTTTGCAGCTGCAAACCCAAAGCCGGTCACTTGGTGCCTTGCCTTGGCGTCCCCACGCTGCAGCAGGGCAGCCATCCTTCCCTGGGTGTTCAGCACAGGAGAAGCGTCTTGCTGGCAGCAGTAGACTGGGCTGTGCTGGACTGGGCTGGCAGGAGTCGTGCCTGCTGGTCCCTGTCCCCGGATGTGCGGCACAGGGCTTTGCTGTGTGCCGGCACGGTGCATGGATGGGTCTGGGTGCTCCTGGGCAGAGCATCTTGGTCTGTAGGATCCTGGTGTCCAGCAGGAGAGGTTTTAGGGCTCAGCTCTGCACTCATCTGCTCTTCTCTCCTTAAACATTACTCCTTTCTCCTTCCCCTTGCAGCCGACAACCCTCCCGCAGGGCACCATCAACATGAACCAGTGCACGGATGTGGTGGATGGGGAGAGCCGGACAGGGCAGAAATTCTCCTTATGCATCCTGACGCCAGAGAAGGAGCACTTCATCCGGGCCGAGAACAAGGAGATCATCAGTGGGTGAGTGCAAGTCTGGGGCCGAGCCACCGCGGGGCTCTTCCCTTAGCCGGGAGGAAGAGGAGGGCGGGTAGGACCTTGCCCGAGGCCGGGTGCTGTGGCCGTGCGTACCCAGGCTGTCCCCGAGCCTGCTGCAGGGACAGTCCTGGGAGCCGGGTGTAGCTGCTGCCTCACGGTCAGCTCCGGTCTTTTCTGCCTTTTTGGCAAGGACAGGGTTTCTTTCCCCTTCCCCACTCCCCCGCCTGGCGGACCCCTGCCATCGCCTGGTGCTCTGCAGCAGAGTGGGGGCCTGAGCACCCCCCGAGCCACCAGATTTATGGTGTGAGCGTGAGTACTGGCTTCAGTGGAGACCTGTGTGGCGGCAGATGATTTAAGTCCTTCTTCTGTGCCTAGTGCGTGTGCTCGGCCGTGCCGGGCTGGAGCCTGGGGCTTCCCAACGTGCCAGCCACCTTTCAGACCCAGTGCTTGGGGAAGCTCAGCCTCTGCCAGGAGCCTTGGCCAGGTCCTGGAGCTGAGATGCTCCTGAATCACTCTTTACTTATGAAGGCCACTGTTTGCAGGTCAGTTTTGTTGTCTGCTGTTGGGCAATATCCTGCTCCCCGCTGCAGAACAACACTCCCAGCGGCGTTTACCCCCGGGAGCAAGCTGAGCTACACCGGAGCATTTGTGGGATGCTCAGAAGGTGCATCTGATGCCGAGGTGCTCCTGGGCTGGCCGTGGCAGCTTCAGCCCCAACAGAAAGCAGCTATTTACTGGCTGGGGGAAGAAGCTTGGCCACAGGGTGAACACCAGGATGGGGTTGGAGCCAATGGGTGCTGGGGTGACCCCAAAGTGCTTGTAGGACAGCATCCGATGAGGCACCCAGCCCGCTGGCACAGGTCCCGTAGTCCCGGGGCTGGCGTGTCCAACCCTGAGCGTCATAGGCCCTGTGGTCCTCGTCTGTCCCTGGGCAGGTAAACCCTGTCCCCATTCGGACTCGCCTTCGCAGTGCCCGCCTCGCCCCGCTTGCTCCAGGCAGGCAGGCTGGCAGAGGGGGTCCATGCAGCCACCCCCCACTCCCAGTGGAGCATCTGACCTCCAAGGACGATTAAAATATCACTGCTTATAGGAGCGCCTGCCACTGGGATGCAGTTGCTCAGCAACACTGAAGATTAGGCCACTAAAATGAGCAAATCGCGGTAGATTTCCCGATTCCAAGTGTTGGATGGTGACCTAGAAACATCCTCGTCATCGCTTACTTGCCGGCTTGGGTTGAAGCCGGTGCTGGTGAGGGTGCAGAGCCACGTGAGAGCCGAGCCACCAGCACGCAGCGACGGACTGCGATGGTGCTGCTGCTCACCTGCGAGCGTTTCCCACGTGGGATGTTGGGAGCTCGGTGCCTCCCTCCCAAAATTGGTTTTGAAACTAGAGCAGAAAGTCGAAGGGCTGAAGCGCTTGCTCTTTCCCACTCTTCCCGAGGCATGGTGTCTCCTGCTTGCCCAAGCCCTGGCAGCAGCAGAGTCAGTGCTTTCTGTTGAGATGACTTCTATTTCCAAGCATTTTCTTTGGTTGTGACTCCCCCCATTTTGGTAAATACTGGTTGAAATAGGCATTTTTCTACCAAGAGCTTGGGATTTTGATCAGATATATATTTTCATGTGCTGAAACTTCCCTGCTCTACTGAGACAGTGCGCGTGGGTGATTCCCCCTTCGTGCAGTGCCTTGGGCCAGCAGAGCTGTCCTCCGGCAGCACGGCCACCTCCCTGGTCCCGTTTGCAGCGGTGGGGTTGCAGTGGTCGCGGAGCTGGAGTGCAGAAGTGCAGGGGAATCATGGCACGGAGGAGCCGTCTCCTCCCTTCCAGCCAAAGCAGGAGCAATGGCTGTGCCCCAAAACATGGCTATGCCCCAAAACATGGCTAACCCCCATGCCCTGCTCTCTTCTCCCTCTCCCCACACTCTGGTTCACAGCTCAGCCTTTTGTTGCCGGTCCTGCCTGCCACGCGGGAGGGAGAGGCATTGCAGAGCAAGGTGGGGCTGATTTATTGTTCGTTGGCCCGGTGCTGGAGTTTGAAGAGCGCGTTTGCTCCTGACTGCAAGCATTAATCATCTCAAAACAGTCCCACTCTGGGTCCGAGCCAGGTGGGTTTCATTTGCAGTTGCAGCACGATAGGAAGATTTCCCTGGCCGGGGGAGAATTTGTTTTACGTTCGTTGCATGCTTCTGGCATTTATTGCTTAACCAAAACCCACTTGATGTGGTCATCTCAAAACCCTTTACAGCAGCAGTGTGCGAAGTGGGGGAACAAGAGAGGGAAGCAGGGACATTT